GACAGAGCTGAAAAAACGCTAGCGGGGGAGAAATGGCTTCCCCACCTCCCCCAACCACCAACATATGCGTAAAAATGCATCAAATGAGTGAAAACTCCATATGGAAGTGTGAACGAGGGCTGCTATTTATAGAAGCTTGTAAATAGGGAGTTCTCACTCGGCATCACGGAGATCATCTTCTCTTTTGACTGCGAAGCAATAAATTAGGAACACGGCAAACTGCTTGGTAGCAGGTCAGATCCGCTGTCCGTCTAGTTCAGCACAGTCTCTTCCAGGGGCAAAAAAAGAAAATGACCCCCCCCCCCGAATGTTGTTGGACTCCAACGCAGTGGCGGAGCTTCATGCTCTGGCACCGGGGTTGGAGAGCAGGAGGGGGTGGGGCTGGCACGCATCCTGGGGGCGGGGCGCCCAGTGGGGGGGGACAGCTGCGATGGCACCCTGGGGGTCGCGCTGCCAGGGGCGGTGTGCTCCCCCCGCCCTCCTCTTCCCCCGCCAGTGCTCCAACACCCATCAGCCCCAGCCAGCATGGCCTGCGGCCAGACCTGAAGGGCCAGACCTGAAGGAAGTCCAACAGCACTTGGAGGGCAGGAAGTTCGCTGCCCCTGGTCTGTTCTGATTGGCTGTGTCTCTTCACTTTCTACTTTATTCTTCTACCTGAAGATGCCAAGGATTGAACCCGGGGCCATCTGCAGCACGGTGTATTCTCAGCCAGTGAGCTATGGCCTCTTCCTCAAGTCAGGCCAATGGTCCATGATGATATTGTCTACATCAGGGGTCAGAAAACTTTTTCAGCAGGGGACCAGTCCACTGTCCCTCAGACCTTGTGGGGGGCCAGACTATATTTTTTTGGGGGGGGGAATAAACAAATTCCTATGCCCCACAAATAACCCAGAGGTGCATTTTAAATAAAAGGACACATTCTACTCATGTAAAAACACTAGGCAGGCCCCACAAATAACCCAGAGATGCATTTTAAATAAAAGGACACATTCTACTCATGTAAAAACACCAGGCAGGCCCCACAAATAACCCAGAGATGCATTTTAAATAAAGGGACACATTCTACTCATGTAAAAACACGCTGATTCCCAGACCATCCATGGGCTGGATTTAGAAGGTGATTGGGCCAGATAATTTGCCTACTCATGGTCTACACACTGACAGGTGGCAGCGGTCCAGGGTTTCAGGCAAAGTGTTCCCCCACTTTGTTTGTTACGCAGGTGAGGAACCACCTTTTAAATAAAGCATGGGAATCCAGGAGGGACCCAGTGTTTATTGTAGTTATTGAAATGGGTCTCCAATTTTTATATCGCCCCTAATATGGGAAGCTGCCTTATATAAAGTCTGGTCATTGGGCCATATTGTTTAGTATTGTCTACACTGATTGGAAATGGATCTCCAAGGTTTCAGGCAGCAGAGAGCTGCTGTCACTTGGTGTAGACAAAAAGGAGTTGGGTGGAGCAATGGTCTAACTTGGTTTAAGGCAGCTTTCTATGCTCCTATGACTAATAGACTTATTATGACATAGCACTTAGGAAGTAGTCCTTAGTTCACAAAAGCTAGTCATCCAAATATGGGCTGTAACCAATGCTGGTCCGACTCAGAGTAGACCCATTGAAATTAACGGACATGGCTAACTTTTGCCCATCAGTCTCAGTAGGTCTACTCTGGTTGGGATTGAGTTGGGTGCAACCTTATGCTTAAACATGGGTGTATCGGTACGGTCTGTGGCAATTCAATTAAAGCTTAAACATATGCAAAATAAGCACAGTCACATTCACCACAGCAGTAATGGCTAAGGACACAGGCTGTAGTGGGACAAGAAGCCCTTATCTCTATTCCTACCCAAACAAATAAAATCAAACCAACTGATAAGTTGTGATTCACCCAAACAGCATGCACCTTGCCCAGAAGTGACAGAAAGTTACCAAGAAGAAAAATCACTTCTGGATTCTTAGAACATTTCCAGGAAACTAATCCACTTCGTCATGCCATAGTGGTCAATTCCACAGCTAACCCCCGTCTTTTCTATTACTTATTTATTTCATAAAACCCTATACACCATTCAATTGCAAAACAACAGCAACAAAGCTGTTTACCAAAAAAAGTGTTCTACAGCGTGATCCTATACATGGCTATTCAGAAGGAAATCTCACTGAAAACTTACTCCCAGGTAAGTTTGTTTAGGAATCTCTATAGTTAGGAATTCCTGGGAGTAGGAGTGGAAGCGTCAATTTTGTTTCTCTCGGTTTCTCTTTTTTTAATTTTATTCCTAAATTCATTTCTCCGCATTTTGATGCAGTCTGTGTTTTTGTTTGTTTTTAAATGCTCATAAAAATTCACCAGCATTTCAGTGAGGCTTTCTAATAATGAGCACAATTTTGTTTGCAGTTTTGACTAACGCATACATTTTTGCAAGCAATTTCCCCCTTGGACGAAGCATTTTTGTATTTTTGCTTCTATATTCATTTTCACCCACACTTTCCCCCAACAGATGCATTTCAATAGACATTGGTGAGTTGCAGAACAGCATCGCAAAATCTGAACAAGTGTGGATTTCAAAGGATGGCTGTACTCCAGTTCTCATATGGTTCGGGAAAGTACAAATGGGATAGATTCAGCTTTAAATGTGAACTGAATCAAATTTCTCCCCCATCCGTACTGGGAGTAAGCCAATGGTGTCTGATCCATCAGGGCCTTGTCCCACCAACTTCAGTCTGCCTTTCTCAGAGGATTTTCTCTGCCAATTGTTAGATTTGGCTCGGCCTACTCATAGGACTCACTGCCTTTTGCCCTACCAGTCCTTATGGGCACCAGTCACTACTGGAGTAAGCCCTATTGAACTTACTTCTGAACAGATGTGTCTAGAATTGCACTGCTAGTCTGGTTCAGCTCTGTAGTGGGAATCACCAAGCCAACGAGTTCTGAATCAATGCCAACCACTGCAACAAAAACTATCGCTGCAATGGAAGCAGTAGGTGTGGGGGGAGAGTTAGATCAAAGTGCTGCTGGAAACTCTTATCAAAGTCTAGGGATGGGGTGCCAAAGACCAAGAGATGCAGCTGAAACCCAAAGATGGGAGCAACCAAAGGCAACAGTTTGAAAAGCTCTTTGGTGTAAGATGTGGAGCAACCACCTAATAATGTACATTGATGCACATCATCAAACTGTAGCGGGGGGAAGTACTTTCCTTGCCTATCCCCAAAGGGAAAAGGCCATAACTCAGTACAGTATTAGAGCATCTGCTATGAATGCAGAAGGTCCCTGGTTTGATCCCCAGCATCTCCAGGTAAGACTGGTTAGGAGAGACTCAAGTCTGCAACCCTGGCAAGTTGCTGTCAGTGAGTGTAGACCATACACAGCTAGATGAACCAATGGGTCTGAGTGGGCATAAGGTAGCTTAGTGTGTCCTGAGAGGCCGCCACACCCAGAAAGCTTCTCAGTAAGATCAATTCTACACTTTCAGGAGAAACCTGAAGGCGTTTTATATCCCAGGAGTCGAGGACTTTGAGTGGTTTTTGCAACGAATTCTGGGCGCATCTTGATTTCCCAGGAAAGTGGCAGAGGGAACAAACTGGTGCATAATCAACTGAATTCAATTCTTCCTCCCAAGGAAAAGGTTAACAGCTGCTGTCTTTGGGGCAGTTGACTTGAACAGGGTGAGGTGGGGGCAGGGAGGATCCAAGCTTCTTTCCATTGGAGGTTTTGGAGCGTGGGTGATGGTTAATGATTGTATTCTTGGGAGAAGCAGGAAGGCTTGAACTGACAACAGATTTGGCACGCAAAAGCCTTTGTTAAGTCAGCCTGTTCAGCATGTCTGAAACGCCATTGACAAGGGACCATCCTCCCCCTCGCTCCCATAAGACATCATCCATGGGGCAAAACAAATACTTAAAGTCCAGGACTTAAACATGCTGCTGCAGGCAGTTTTAGTTTTTTAAAAAAATCCACATGCTTTTGTGATGCTATTTGAGAGAGAGATAACAAAGGAAAAGTCTGCTTCTGAGATGCTTCCACAAACCTGCCTCTCCACCCCTTTCTCTAACAGCAAAGCACTTTGCCAGGATTTGTCTAGTTTAAGGATTGGGGGTTGGGTTTTTGTGTGTGTGTGTGTGTGTGTGTTTTTGCAAAGGCATAATAAAGTATGGTTAACTTGAGTTACAAGGAGTGGGGTGGAGGGAGATAACTAGAAGATCCCCCTTTCTTCTGTCCCTCTCCCCAGTTTATTTTCTCCCACTAAGGGGTAATAAGAGAGAAACCTTTTTCTCGGAGATCTCTCCTCCTCACAGCCTCAAAAAGCATCACCAGAAAAGCACTAGAGAACATCCTTGCCAAATATAGGCACAACTCCCTTTTGTTCCTAGGAAGCAATTGCTCAGTTGCACGCCTGCTTGGTGATACTAGAACAGAGGGAGGGAGTGTGTGTGTGTGTGTGTGTGTGTGTGAGAGAGAGAGAGAGAGAGAGAGAGAGAGAGAGAATGAGAGAGAGAGACAGAGACAGAGACAGAGACTGACAGACTGAAGGCCATTTGGGAAAGGGCTGCTACTGGTGCTTAGCATGCAGAAGGTCCCAGGTTTAAATCCTGGCATCTCCCAGTAGAGCATGGAAAGAAACCCCTCTGAAACCCTGGATAGCCACTGCCATTCTATGCAAACAATATTGAGCCAGAGAGGGATCAATGACTTGACCCAGGATAAACAGTGTTCTTCTGCTTTGGGGAAGGGACACAGCTCAGTGAGAGCACCTGCTTCTCATGCAGAAGGTCCCGAGTTCTATCCGTGGCGTTGGGACTAGAGAAGACCCCTTGCCTGAAGCCCTGGGGATCTTCTGCTACCAGCCAGTGCAGGCAACACTGAGTCAGATGGACCTATGGTCGACTGGGCAAAAGCAGCTCCTTACGTTGTTGATAGCTGCCCAGCTCCCTAGCTTATCCTATCCTGTGCAGAAACAGGAGGAGCCCAGACCACGAAGCCCGCATGGGGAGGTGGGAAGTACTTACTTCTCCCAAGCCCCTCGGCTCGCCACGCCGTCTCCTCCACTGCCCCATAGCGTCTCAGAGGCTTCTCTGCTTCCATGCTGGCCGAGATGGATCTCTTTAACTCCATGCCGGAGCCCTTTTCTGCCTGGGCCCTGTTCCCTCGGCTGCTTGGCGGGCTCCCCTTCCTCCTAGCAGACCATCCCAGCCGGAGGAAGGGCTTGAAGGAAAGGGAGACGCAGAGGGACTTCGGGAGCTGCTCGGTGCGCGTTTCTCGGCTTGTTTGCTACCAACGCCGGGGCTGGCCAGCCTCGCTGAGCTCACTGCATCTCCCTCCGTCGCGCTGGTACCCAGAGGAGGAGGGGAGGGGAGGGATGCAGCGCGCATGCTCAGTGCGAAGATGCTCGTGAAAGGAAGCGCCCGAGGGAACGCAGGGGAGGGGGAAGCAGGCAAACAATGAGGGCAAATATGTCGTAGTGGGGATGGAGGGTATGTATATGTACATATTGATTGAGTATGGGAAAATGCTAATCAGTGCCCACACATAGCAGGGGGTCAGAGGGAGATAACCTTTTCTGAGTCTCTGTGCTATCTGTGTGTGTTCGGGCGTGGGGTAGGGAGGAAGAGGCAGCACCCCCAAAAAATCCCCAGCCCTAAGAGCAGAGGTGCCAACAGGGCAAGACTTTGGGGCAGAAGAAGTTAAAAAGTCCAGGGACCTACTCAGGAGAGTTTATTTGTTTGATAAGGATATTTGCAAACCTCCAACTCATGAGTTCTGGTGGTTAACAAATTATTTTATTGTGCATTGCATATGTCTATATCTCTGTATCTCTATAGATACAAATATAGATATAATGGGGGTCTATAATAAAATCATGAAAACATCATATATTCATAAAATGCAGAAGAAAGAACCAATGAGGAATTAAATTAATTATCTAAACAAACAAATAAAAGACTTAGTGAAACAAAAACATTTTGAGCAGGTGACAGAATATCAGGATTCTAGGTGCCTGCCTGATTTAACGGAGAACAGTGCCCCAAAGTATTGATACCCTTACACTAAAAGCCTTCCTATGTGTAGAAACTATATCAATATGAGAGAAGGGTGGGGCAGTGAGGGGAGATTCTCCAGAAGAGGGCAGTGATCTGGCCAGCATATGAGAGCTTTCCCTGACCCCTGCCTTCTGCCCCAGCCAGCATGAACAATGGGTTTGCAGAGATGGCAGTGGCTGTGCCATTCTGCCACCACTGTCCATCCAGGGTTTGCTCTGCCAGATGTGACGACGCACTGGGAAACTTAGACATTCTTTCAGAAAATTAGGTGGGTCAGAGGAAGTTAGGTAGAGGCCAAATTTTCAGTTAGGGTAAAGGTAAAGGTAAAGGGACCCCTGACCATTAGGTCCAGTCACGGACGACTCTGGGGTTGCGGCACTCATCTCGCTCTATAGGCCGAGGGAGCCAGCGTTTGTCCGCAGACAGCTTCCGGGTCATGTGGCCAGCATGACTAAGCTGCTTCTGGTGAACCAGAGCAGCACACGGAAACGCTGTTTACCTTCCCGCCAGAGCGGTACCTATTTATCTACTTGCACTTTGATGTGCTTTCGAACTGCTAGGTTGGCAGGAGCAGGGACCAAACAATGGGAGCTCGCCCAGTCGCGGGGATTCGAACCGCCGACCTTCTGATCAGCAAGTCCTAGGCTCTGTGGTTTAACCCACAGCAAACCCATTGATTACTTTGTCAATGCAATTAAAATGCAGTTATCAATGCATAATGTTTTCTGAGTACCACCATCACAGTGCAGTTCAGTTGGTTGGAACATGGTGCTGATAATGCCAAGGTTGCAGGTTCGATCCCCATATGGGACAGCTGCATAGTCTTGCCTTGCAGGGGGTTGGACTAGATGATCCTCAGGGTCCCTTCCAACTCTACAATTCTGGAATTAGTTGGCTCCACCCACCAATGGCTCTAGCTCCACCTGCTGTTGGTCTCCCTGCCTTCCACCTTACCAGCCTCAAAGGGCACCTGCCACCTCTGTTTATTCATGAGATTTTCATCACAGGCAGCAAGAATACCAAGGCCAGGTAATGCACTTCCACCTTCCCTGATCTTCCATTTGGTCTGGACACGGCAGAGTTTCCCTTGGGCTGTTTTAAAGGACAGCAGATGCAAGAGTAACTTACAGACGGTTGTTGTGCATCCAGAACAAGAAAGGCCAGACAGTGCTATGAGTCAGGAGCTTAAGCAGCAGGTGGTGGTGCCGTTTTTACTGCTAATTTGGGGGTGATGACTATGTGGAGACGTTGCTGGGGGTGGGCTGAACTGATTCATTGGAAGCAGTGCAGGAGTGGGAGGAAGCCGAGGCACCCATATGGGTTATGGTGGAAGAAGAGGTGATGAAGACAGCTCAAAAGACAACAGCGGCCCACCCTCTAAAATACTAGTAATAATAATTCGGCTCTTCAGATATGACGGTGAGAAATGGCTGTTCTCTCCCTTTAATTGTGAATGCTGGAGGTGGGTGCCAACAAAAATGGAGCCCCAATGGACCTGTTGAGTAGCAAGGAAGAAGTGTTAGAATGCTCGGGGAAGGAGAGAGGGCTGTGGCACAGTGGTAAAGCATCTGCCTTGCAGGCAGAAGGTCTCAGGTTCAATTCCCAGCATCTCCAGATAGGATGGGGGACACTTGGCTGGAGAGCTGCTGCCAGCCAGTGTAGACAATATGGAGTTAAGATGGGCCACCGGCCTCACTCGGTATAAGGCAGCTTCGTACATGCCTAGGTTTCACAGAAGTACAAAAGAAATCTGAAACAAGCCTCAGACCTAAGGGGGCAACTCCCCCCCCCCCAAGAAAACAGCTGAAGGAGGACTGAGGATGATCAAGAGCTACAGCACACTGGATCAGGGGACCAGGAACTTTTATTGATATCCTTACAGTTTATAGTATCTGGTTAACTGTGTCATAGTCTCATGCTTAGCAGCAATGTGCAGAGCTCAGTGGAGTGGGAGGCCAGCAGAGTCCATGAGGTGTACTTGCCTGGATGCAGAGTCAGTATCCAAAGTCAGGTCCAGTCCTACGGTTCAGCAAACACCAATCCATGTGGTCAGAAGGTCCAGGGGTCAGGGAATCTGATGGTCATGGGGGTCAAGGGTCAAGACAAGCTGGAAGCAGCAAGGCAGGGCTAGGCAACTGGCTGCTGCTGGAAATTCTGAATAATAATAATAATAATAATAATAATAATAATAATAACAACTTTTTATTTATACCCCGCCTTTCTTGGTTTAAAAACTGGGCCCAGGGCAGCTAACAGCAAATATAAATCATTGATTAAAATGTGACTTGAAAAAACATAAAATAGCATAGAATACAACATAAAATGCAGCATCAATATCAATAAAATTCAAAAATTCAGGGGTCATTTTTGGAAGAAGGCTGAAGCCAGCTGGTTCTCATCAGCTTCTTCTCTGTGTCCCTAAAGGTTGATCAGCTGCAAGTGGAGTTCACTCCCCCTTCAGGCTGCTGTTCATCAGGTGAAGCTGACTCTGGGCCCATGACAAAATGGCATGAATCCTGATTGGAGACGTTCTTCTAGGACAGAGGTGAGGAACCTCAGGCCTGGGTGTTAATTGCAGCCCACCAAACCTCTCCATCTCACCCTTGGATCTCTCCTCAGGTCACACACTTCTCGTTCCACACCACACCCCTCACTGGTCTTTTGTCAAACCCTGAGTGCTTTTGCCTGACTGGAAAATGTCCTTGAACTCTGCTAATGCCTCTTGTTTGCCGGGTTAGAGGATAGAGAGGGGTGTGTGAGTAGAGAAACTAGTCAAGTACAAAGGTACTGTAAAATGTGCATTTGTTGCTCCACCCACTTTTGTCTCTGGCTCCGCCCCCACTGGCATGTGGCCCTCAGAAGGTTACCCAGAAGGGAATGTGGCCTTTGGTATGAAAAGGGTTCCCTACCCCTGTTCTATGAAGCAAGGCTACACAGCAACATTTTGTTGCAGCTCCCACTTTTTAAATTCCAGCACCTGATGTGCTGCATTCTTTGTCACGTGCCCAGCACCTGAAGAGTCAACAAAAAATAAAAATAAAATGCAGTTCTCATTTTAGAAGGGGGAAAAAGCCGTAACAACTGCATCATAAAGCAGTAATAAAAACTGTCGGCTAACAATGACGCCATTAAAAAACAACACAGAGCAAGTCGGCCCACAGGGAATTTTCAAAGAGAAGTATAAGCACACAAGTGGAAACTGCAGCAAAATGTTATGGCGTGGAGGGCTGCTGTTCAGGAGTCCAGGCACTCAGTTCCGCCCCCTGTTGGCCGTAGCTCAGTGGCAGAGGAGCCCAATCATCAGCCAGCATTCTGCGGTCCCCGGGCATGCTTGGTGCACATTGGGCTGTTTTGGGAGTCCTCTCCCCCAAACCTTGCACATATTTCCACAAAACACATGGCTTGAGCAGCATGACAATACTGCCTCCTGGCTACATAAGCAACAGTACTCAGCACCTGAGGTTGGAAATGGAGGGAATGGTTTGTATACAGGACTTGTAAATGCAAGTGTGCTGGCTGCCAGTGAAATCATACCCTCAGTTTCAGGGGATTGTTAAAGTGTCACACTTCTCCATTCACGTGGGCAGTGATGAGGGTTTTGGGTTTTTTTAACAGTCAAGCTGTGTATAAATTTTATGAAATAGGCAGCTTGTTCCCATTTTAGATGCTCTCTTCTGCCCCCAGGGATCTCCGCATCTCCTTGTCTGAGTGTGCACAGAGGTAGCTCTCACAGAAAAAAGTTGCCAGCGGGTGCAGAATGCCGCAGCGAGACTCCTTACAGAATCCTCGCTGCGAGATCACATTCACCGGGTGCTATACCAGCTGCACTGGCTCCCAGTGGGGTACAGGATCAGATTTAAGGTGCTGGTTTTAACCTTTAAAGCCCTATGCAGCCTAGGACCCTCGTACCTACGGGACCGCCTCTCCTGGTATGTCCCACGGAGGACCTTACGGTCTTCAAACAAAAACATCTTGGAGGTCCCGGGCCACAGGGAGGTTAGGCTGGCCTCAACTAGAGCCAGGGCTTTTTTGGCTGTGGCTTTGATCTGGTGGAACGCTCTGTCACAAGAGACTAGGGCCCTGCGGGACTTGACATCTTTCTGCAGGGCCTGCAAGACAGAGCTGTTCCACCAGGCCTTTGGCCAGGGCACAGCCTGACTCCCTCCCTCGGCAATCTTCATAGAACTCTAGCCCAATGGTTGCCATTAATTTGATTTGAATTAATTTTATAATGAAATGATTTTAGAATGTTGTATTATTTTATTGTTGTTAGCTGCCCTGTGCCCGGCTTCGGCTGGGGAGAGCGGGA